GAGCTTCGCCGTTTCCTAGGCGTAGTCAATTATTATAGGCGTTGTACTTCTCACGCTGCAGAAGATCAAGCGCCACTCTACAACCTACTCAAAGGACTATCCAAGAAAGCCAAGCTGACTTGGACGCCCGAAGCCAACCAATCTTTCGAAAAATGCAAGAACGGCATCATTAATGCCGCCTGCACTACCTTTTTCTGTCTGGTGCCCCACTGGCCCTCTGGACTGACGCTTAGCAAACTGCCATGAGAGCTGCGCTGAAGCAACAACAACCAAATGGCACTTAAAAACCATTGGATTTTTTCTCCAAGAAATTGGATGCTACGCAATACAACTACAGTACCTACGACAGAGAGCTGCTCGCCATCTTCTCAACAGTCAAACACTTTGAGGGACTTCTCGAAGGCCGCTCTTATACTTTGTTCACAGATCATTGCCCTTTGGTGCACGCGCCGAATCAACGCTCAGACAAGGTATCGCCCCGACAAGCACGGCAGCTGGAATACCTGCTGCGTTTTAACGTCAAGTTTAAGCACACACGAGGCGCCGACAACGTCGTCGCAGACGCCCCATCCAGTACATGCGCCATTTCGCAGATCCACAGCAGCAAAGAGGAATGAACCAACGAGAACTCAAGGCAAGAAGTTCCTTCCGAGATTGCCACCGTCACAATGCCAACTTCATTAGACGCAAAAACCATCGCAGAAGCCCAAGCATCTGATGTCGAGCTGCCAACTCTTATAGACTCTGCTCTCCAACTGCAAAAACTACCGTTGGGCGGGCATGAGGTCTTCTGCAACATCAACAACAACATCGTGTGTCCATACTTACCGGAACACTTGCGATGCCTGGCATTTAACACGACCCACGGACTATCGCACCCAAGTGGGAAAGCCACTTCAAAAGTTTTGGCACAAAAATTCGTGTGGCCAGGAGTCCGCATAAATGCTTACACCTGGGCATATAAATGTAAAGCTTGTCAGAAGTCGACGGTTGGTCGACACAACAGGGCACAATGCGGTCGATTTACAGAACCTGACAATCGATTTAAACATGTTCATATCGACTAATAAGATTACCACTCATTCAAGGTATGCAATACTGCCTCACAATAATTGACAGATTCACACGTTGGCCCATGGCAATTCCAATACCCAATATAAGAGCTGACATAGTTGCTAAAGCTTTCATGGATCGCTGGATCAGCATCTTTGGCACACCACTCCAAATTCCATCGGATTGTGGGGCGCAGTTTGAATCGGAGCTTTTCAACGAGCTCGATCGGATCATCGGCGCAAAAGTGGTGCACACTGTGGCATACCACCGACAGTCAAATGGGATGGTAGAGAGATTCCATCGCTCTCTCAAAGCAGACCTCAGATGCTGCCCACAGTCATGGGTTGACTGCCTACCCACGGTTTTACTTGGACTCAGGATAGCCTTCAAACAGGACCTGGAAGCATCTCCGGCTGAAATGCTTTTCGGTACTACACTCCGAGTCCCAGGAGAGTTTTTTTGTTACAGACTCCCTGCAAGCCGACAAAACGGCTTTCGCCCAAAGCCTACGTAGCCTCTTTAGAGCAATACGGTCCATTCCTGCATCCAGGCACAGCTCCGGTCAACCGTTCGTCTTCAAGGACCTTCAATCCTGCACACACGTTTTTAAAAGGGTTGACAGCATCCGGAAGCCACTGGAGGCTCTCTACACCGGCCCACATCGTATCATCCGGCGCATGGAACGACGCACGTTCGTCATTGAAATCAACGGCCAGGAGAAAGTGGTCTATGTCGACCAGCTGAAGCCTTCCTACCTGGAAGCAGCAAAACCGTGCCCAGCTAACCAACCAATACAGCCCATTACACCAGGTGCAACTTTGGCTCAGCAAGCCGACCGTCAACAACGAGGAACACCTTCCCAGGCAGTTGACGAGCCAACTCCAGCTCCAAGCGCTCAGCCCAGAAAATCTGAGCGTCATGTTACGTTCCCAGCGCCCCCCGTGCCAGGCACTGGAAGGGGACTACCTGTAGCGCCTCAACCTGGCGCACAATCTTCGCGCCACTCGCGCAAGCAGACGCTGGCGCCGAGGAAAAAGTTTAACTAGCTCAGTCAAGCTCTCTCCTAACCGCACGAGCCAGCAAGCGGCAGCACGGCCGCGACTGACCACCGCGGTACTGTTGCTATCTTCTTCGCTCGCCTTCCATCAGTGGACCACCTCAGCTGAGGTGCCAGAAGCTAGCCCCCCGTCTCAGGGGATTGTGTGCCCAGCCTTACACCGAAAAGCATGCACCATGCACCGTGCTCGTGGCTAGGACACGTGTCAAGAAACAGTTATTTTTCTAATCTGGAATTTTCCTTGCAATCAAGTTATATTTTTGTACTTATATTTTATTACCGTTAATAACTAGTTTTAAAGTTGACGAGCACGCGAGTATTTATTTCGCCTTGCAAGAATCCCGCTCCCAAAGCATCCAACATATATACTGTGAAAAAAATTTTTTTTTAATTTTTCCAGACCCTAATCCACTCGTAGGTTTGCTATAGGCCCCAAACGGTGAATTTCGGATTTTCAAAGATACCTCCGCTATTTCTTAACCGATCCCAAAAATTCTAATTGAAAGTCAAGGACAAAAATAATTTATACTAACTAGAAATTTTTCAAAATTTTTGACGCCAAATTCAAATTTTGGGAAACGTTCGAAATTTATAAAATTGCGTATTACTAAGAGTTTTATCGCCGCCGCCAGCAAAA